TTATTATAACTATTGAATTGTATATATATTTTAAAAGTTAATAACTTTTGTACTTTTTATCAGTTTTACATATGTAATATATCAAATTAATATTCTTTTGATGAGCTTCGATTTTACATCCATATTGTATGTATATAAAAAATAATTTATATTTATCTTTATAACAATATCCCCCTATATATTAATTCAGAACGCGCTGAGCCTACGTGGCTGTTTCTGGTGCTTCGAAATCATATGTGGCAAAATTACATGCTTCGTTATTAGGCTTGGGTAAATTTTAATTTAATTTCAACCCAAAAATAATTAGGTTCGGATTACCATAAATATGTTGATTATTTATGGTCATGTTACATGTATTAATTACATTTTAATACCATTCCTTATTATAATTATTGAATTGTATATATATTTTAAAAGTTAATAACTTTTGTATTTTTTATCAGTTTTATATATGTAATATATCAAATTAATTTTCTTTTGATGAGCTTCAATTTTACATCCATATTGTATGTATATAAAAAATAATTTATATTTATCTTTATAACAATAATAAAATTATTTTCAATATTAATTAGAAAAATAAAATTATTTATAGACTAATATATTTATATTTCAAGTAGTAATATGATATAAGTTATAAAAACTAATATAATATAACACATGTAAGTCATAAGTAACACATATCATTCTAAAATATATAGTAATATATTTTTTTTGTATAGAAGTAAACTAAATTTAATATAGTTTTCTCATTAATTTTAAAATTTAAGAATAATTTTTTAACAAGCACCCGTGTAATACACGGGTGTTGTAGTAGTATACTGGATATCTATTAATTTATATAAGCGCATTAATTAAGATTATTTCCTATTTTAGACGTGGTTTATAGGGCATAATTTTTTTTTCTCTATCTTTCTTTTTTTTTCTTTATCTTTCTTTTATAATTATAAATTTTAGTAACATAAATTATAAATATAATTAACTAATAACTTTTTTATTCATTGTTAATTTTTCATACATAATATATCAATAATCATTTCTTGATGAGATTCGATTTGACATCTATATTGTACATAAAAATAAATATATATTTATCTTTATCATTAAAATAATAAAATTAATCATATTAATATTAATTAGAAAAAAATATTTAAAATAATTTAACTACAAATTAGTTATGTGCTATAAGTTAAAATTATTATAATAAGATGTTAAGTATTATGAGTGACGAATGTCATTTTAAATATAATAAAAATATAGTTTTAATTTTTTAATTTTAATTTCAAATATCAATTTCTTAGCAAGCACTCGTGTACTACATCGATATTGTATTAGTATAAGATTATAAGTCAATAATAATAAATTTGTTCTCCTCTTGAGATGTATACGAGCTGGGGCTCAAGCTTGTTAAGTTAACAAGCCTATAAGCGAGTTGATACTTAAACTAGTTGATTTATATAAGAAGTTCGGGAAATTACGTAAGCCCTATATTTATCAAGTTTAACTCAATCTCGAGCTCAATTTGTTTACTAATCGAGTCGAGATGAGCTCACGAGCAATTCATTTCGTTTAACATTTTTACTAGTCCAATGCCTGTGAATTAGGGGTGAACGTGGGTCGGTACGGTTCGTAGATTGATAAATCTCCAGCACCGTACCAAATTTCGGAGATTGCAAAATTTGATCTCCGGAACCGTACCAAAAAGTCGGTTCGGTTCAGTTCGGAGATTTTTATTTTTCGGTTCGGTATTCGGGACTATTGGAACGGTTCGATTCGATATGGTTTGGTTCGGATCTTCGGAGATTTTTTATTTATTTATTTTTTAATTTTTTTGAATGACGACCTAGTTATATTTGAATTTTTATATGCTTTAAGAAATAACATTCATCAATAATTCATCATATTGAAGATTTTATTTCGAAATCAATTTTAGAGTAACTCTAAATTTTATTTATTTTATTTTATATATGCTTTAATAAAACCAACATTCATCAGTACTTACTCACATTAAAGATTATATCTTGAAATCAACTTTATAAGTAACTCTAAATTTTAGTTATAATTAAATTTGTGCAACTAATATTAAAATCAAAATTCAAATAAAATATAATATTTTTTTTCTTAAAAAAAATATTCTTTAAACTTTCATATTATTTGAAATAATTATTTTTTAATAGAAAAAATTCAATTTGTAGATCACGTATTACTAAGCATTAAATTTAAGTGAAAGTTAGTATTTATTACTATATTATATAGGATCAAAGTTGACATAAAATATATTAATAACACATCTAGTATTCAATTAATAAAAGGTTTATTTGTAAAAAAAAAAAAGATGTTATAATTCAGTTCTTAATTTCGGTTCTTCGGGTCGGTTCGGTTCTCGGTACGGCTATTTGTAAAATCTCCAGAACCGTACCAATTATTTTTTCGGTTCGGTTCGGTTCGGAGAAAGTCAAACGGTCAACAGTTATTTTTCGGTTCGAAGTGATTTCGGTTCGGTTTTCGGAACGGTTCGAAATTCTCCGAGTCCCATACTCAAAGAATAAAAAGAATTGTAAATAAATAATTATTATGAAAAATAAATAAATAATAAGAAATTAAAAAATTTGTAAAATATTATTTTAAATTCTAGAAAAAAAATTGTATGAAAAACTATATATTGTATTTAAGATATATTCATTTTTTTTTTCAAAATTAAATAGAATAATTAATTTATTATGAATTTGATGTAACACCCATGAGCAACAGGGGTACATTAAGATAAAAAATAAAATATTTTTATTAATGAAAAATAAGTAAATAAATGTATATTATTATAATATAATGATTGATACGTGAGAAATCTTGTACTCTTTTGTGGTTTACTTTATATATTTGAGTATTT